GGAACTCCTCCTGCCTGTCCTCAAGGACGTCCGTGCTAAGAGCACACTCACCCCCGACGGACGGAGGACAGACAGACTCAGACTCAGCAACAAGACTAGCGGCGTAGTCTAGACGACATCGAGCTGCAAAGTCGACAAGCTCAGCAACCAAGGCAGACGCAGCAGTGGACTCAAAGGAAGGGTCAGTGACAACAGTAGCCAGGAGACGCGTGACAGTAGGACTGGCAGCACGAAGAGAGTCAGACTCCGGGTCAGCAAGGAAGAGAGGACTCTGGAGGAGACGGCAACGGGACACGCAGAGGAGCAGTGGAAAGACGCAGTGCCATCTGGTGTGTGCCTGGGACCGCAGGAGGACGCGGACGCGGAGCACGACCACTAGTGCGAGCAGCACGAACAGGCGACGCAGGACGAGACGCAGGCTCACGACGCTCAGCAAGACCTCCAGTAGGACCAGTGTAGGGAGAAGGAGCAGGTAGGGGGGAGGCGGGCTGTAACTGTGACTGCGACTAGACAGGCTGTGGACACTCTAAGGGAGGAGCAGGACCAGTAGAGGGCGGGAGACCAAGAACCTGCTCAAGGAGCGGAACGAAGTACGGCCGCGGCCGCGCAGCGCCTCCAGACCCAGCAGGGACAGCACCAGTACTCCCAGCGGCAGCACCAGCGCCAGTAGCACCTCCAGCTCCAACAGCGCCAACTCCAGCACCCTCAGACGCACCAGCGCCAGAAGAACCACCAGCGCCAACACCCCCAGCAGCTCCAGCTCCAGCAGCTCCAGCAGATCCAGCAGCACCAACCCCAGTAGGACCGGTAGCTCCAGTACCGCCAGCAGCTCCAGTAGTACCTCCAGCAGGACCAACTCCAGCAGCCCCAGCAGCACCCCCAGTCCCAGCAGCTCCAGCACCGCCAGTACGAGTACCACCGGGACCAGCAGCAACAGTAGTACCTCCAGCTCCAGCAGCACGGCTCCAGCGCCGGGCAAACCACTCGCGCAGCTCCTGTGGAGAGAGTGGCTCCCGCCTCGACGAAGCACCGCCAGAGGCCACACGAGCAGACCCAGCACCCCCAGGCTCCGCACCCCCAGGCTCAGCACCCCCAGGCTCAGCACCCCGAGACTCAGCACCCCCAGGCTCAGCACCCCCAGACTCAGCACCCCCAGGCTCCGCACCCACAGGCTCAGCACCTCCAGACCCGGCACCCGTGGGCTCAGCACCTCTAGCAGCACCAGAGTCAACAGCTACCTCGACAGGCTCGACTGCGTCTACCTGGGACACACCTGACGGGGCAGGACCCTGAGGGGGGAGGGGGTCTACCGGGGGAGGACCTGGCGCAAGGAAGAGTGGCGGCGGGGGGAGGGGCGCAGTGCGGTAGGGGAAGAGACGGTAGTAAGGCACCGACTCGTCGAAGGTGACGTCCTGGGAGGACAGAACACGGCGCGAGGTGGGGTGGTAAAACTGCCAACCAGGCGCGTCAGGGGGGAAGCCAAGGAAGACGCAGGGAACAGCACGGGGGGACAGCTTGTCCGCAGACAAGTCGCGGACAAACGCCCGAGATCCCCAGACCCGAAACGCAGACGCATCGCCAACCTTCCCCGTCCACCGCAAGGTGGGGGAGGTCTCTGGCAAGGAGACCCGGGGCTGAAGGTTGAGCTGATGCGCTGCGTACTGAACTGCAAACGGCCACAGAAAATGGGGGGCAGCCGCATGGATCATGGACGTACGAGCGACGTCCATGACCATGCCAATGCGGCGCTCAGCAATCCCATTTTGCTGTGGAGAGGCCGGAAGCGTGAAGGTCTGGCGGATGCCCTGTGCACGACAGAAGGCTCCCAGACGGGCAGAGGAAAACTCCCCGCCTCTGTCAGAGTGCAGACGCAGAACAGGAAAGTCCGAGCCGAAACTCTCTCTGAGCTGGAGACGAGCTGCGCGGATCCAGTCGATCAACACCTCAGTGACGTCACCCTTGCTGCGCAAGGGGAAGACCGTGGTGTAACGCGAGTAGTCGTCAACCACCAACAGGAAGTAACGCTCGTGACCCTGGCCACGGACGCGGGCGGGGCCCCACACGTCCATGTGAAGAGTCTGCAGCGGAGCCTCTGTCGGAGGAAACTCGGAGGAGTGAGGGGCGGCGCGCTGTCGCCCCTCGACGCAGGGGACGCAGGTAGGGGCAGGCCCCGGAGGTAGGGGAGGGAGAGACCGGGGGAGACCAGAGACAAGGACACGGGAGGCCATGCCTCAGAGACGAGGCAGGGAGGGGTGACCAAGGCGGTGGTGCCAAAGGAGAGTCTGGTGAGACAGGAGACGACACGAGCAGGGAGCAGACTCAGGACCAGACCTGGACGCTGCAGCAAACACCTGACTCGACGCAGTTACCTGACCAGACTCAGCAACCGGAGGAGACTCAGTAGTCAGTGTGTACAGGCTCGACCCCGGCCGACGGGTAAATGTGGCCAAGTGTCGGCCCGTCTGCGCACACGTACAGTGGGTCACCCGCTGACTCGCAGGAGTGAACTGGTCAACCCCCCGATCCTGTAGATCAGCACCACTCACCAAGTTCGTAGAGAACGAGGGGAGGTAGAGACCTGACAGGGTGCCAGAGGGGGCCGCCGGACAGGGTAAGACAGTGGAGAAGCGAGCAAGGACAGGACCCCCAGAGGGGTCCGCCAGGGAGACTGCAACCGGCCGACTGAGCGGCGTAAGCGTGGTGCGGTCTCGAAAGAAGGAGCGGGAAGCACCCGAGTCAAGAGTGAAGGTGTGTAAGGCCTGAGACGACGTGGTACCTGAGAGAGCAGACTCACCAGCACCTGGGGCAGCAGACGCACCAGCACCTAGAGCAGCAGCCTCACCAGCACCTAGAGCAGCACCCTCAATGCCCGGGTCAGGCGGAACACACAGGTAACAGTCACCCTCATCACTAGTAGGCAATGCATACATGGCAGTGGGGATAGCATCATAGTCAAGAGTATAGATATCTACCCTCAGCCGAAGCAGCTCCACCCAGTCGGGGAGCTCAGCCGCGTCACCAAACTCCGTACGCCAGGCGTCGCTCAGACGGGCGAAGCAGCGGGACTCTGCGTGACCAAACGTCCCGCAAGGCTGATCAGTCCGAGCACCAGTGCGAATGACGTACGGACAGCGAGCAGTACCCCGTGACCCGTCACGCTGAGCGTACCACTCACGAAGCTGCTGGGGCGAAAGGACCGCTCGCGGACGACGCTGAAGCTGCACCTGGCCACTACAAGCAGCTGCCGAACTACTCACTCCAGAACGACTCCCACTACGGCCACCCCGACAACCCCAACTAGCGTTCCACTCACGAAGCTGTTGGGGGGTGAGGGACTCACGCGGGCGACGTTGCGGCTGCACCTGGCCACTACAAGCAGCTGTGGAACTTCTCACTCCAGGACGACTCCCACTACGGCCACCCCGACAACCCCAACTAGCGTACCACGCACGAAGCTGTTGGGGGGTGAGGGACTCACGCGGGCGACGCTGGAGCTGCATCTGGCCACGCAAGGAGCAGCAGTAGCAGTAGAAAGAGCAGCAGCAGTAAGAGCAGCAGTAACAGCAGGACGGGCAGGGCAGTGCTCACCAGTGGCGAGAAGGGCAGGCGTACGACGGCGGCAACGGCGAGGCCGCTACCACTGTAGAGCGAGAGCTCCGCGGCAGCTGCAGGGGTGGCTGCTCCAGGGGCGGCAGTTGTAGGGGCGGCTGCTGCAGGGGCGGCTGCTGCAGTGGCGGCTGCTCCGGGGGCGGCTGCTGCAGTGGCGGCTGCTCCAGGGGCGACTGCTGCAGTGGCGGCTGCTCCAGGGGCGGCTGCTGCAGTGGCGGCTGCTCCAGGGTCGGCTGCTGCAGTGGCGGCTGCTCCGGGGGCGGCTGCTGCAGTGGCGGCTGCTCCAGGGGCGACTGCTGCAGTGGCGGCTGCTCCAGGGGCGGCTGCTGCAGTGGCGGCTGCTCCAGGGGCGGCTGCTGCAGTGGCGGCTGCTCCAGGGGCGGCTGCTGCAGTGGCGGCTGCTCCAGGGGCGGCTCGGCTGCTGGGCGACTCGGCAGCTCAGCTGCTGGGCGGCTCGGCGGCTCGGCTGCTCGCTAGGGGCGGCGACAGGGCCGGGTAGGGGTGGCGACGGGGCCGCTAGGGGCGGGGAGCGGCGACGGGGCCGCTAGGGGCGGCGACGGGCCGCGTAGGGGCGGCTACGAGGCCGCGTAGGGGCGGCGACGGGGCCGCGTAGGGAGGGAGGCGGCAACGGGGCCGCTAGGGGCGGCGACGGGGCCGCGTAGGGGCGGCTACGAGGCCGCGTAGGGGCGGCGACGGGGCCGCGTAGGGAGGGAGGCGGCGACGGGGCCGCTAGGGGCGGCGACGGGGCCGCGTAGGGGCGGCGACAGGGCCGCGTAGGGAGGGAGGAGGCGACGGGGCCGTTGGGGGCGGCGACGGGGCCGCGTAGGGGCGGCGACGGGGCCGCTAGGGGCGGCGACGGGGCCGCGTAGGGGCGGCGACGGGGCCGCGTAGGGAGGGGAGCGGCGACGGGGCCGCTAGGGGCGGCGACAGGGCCGCGTAGGGGCGGCGACGGGGCCGCGTAGGGGCGGCGACGGGGCCGCGTAGGGAGGGGAGCGGCGGCGGGGCCGCTAGGGGCGACAACGGGGCCGCTAGGGGCGGCGACGGGGCCGCGTAGGGGCGGCGACGAGGCCGCGTAGGGGCGGCGACGGGGCCGCGTAGGGAGGGAGGCGGTAACGGGGCCGCTAGGGGCGGCGACAAGGCCGCTAGGGGCGGCGACGGGGCCGCGTAGGGGCGGCAACGGGGCCGCTAGGGGCCGCGAGGGGCCTGGAAGGGCGGCGACGGGGCCGCTAGGGGCGGCGACTGGGCTGCTAAGGGTGGCGCGAGGGGCCGTGAGAGGGGCCTCTAAGAGAGCTCGACAGAAGGGCGGCCCACAAGGCGCGCCTTGGGCAGGAGCGACTGTCGCTCCGGTCAGAAAAAAAGGTTTCAGTGGTGGGCCCAAGGAAGCGTTCCCACTAGGGAACCTGCTCTATACCATGTGAAGAAATGAGGAGTGAATGAACTAGCACAAGGTTGGGTACAAGTAGAAAACCCTAGGAAACTGTACCCCATAGTGTCTACCCCACTATAGCCTAGACAAGCTATATAATATGAGTTTGACAAAATCCACATGCCATCGACAATGTTCGCCCAAGGTGGGGGAACCTCGTCGACGTAGGTGCCTGTGGACTTCCAGGAAGCCATCTCTGCGTCCATGGCTGTCTGCCACTGAGAGGAGTAGGGACCCTCTATCGCCTCTGCGTAAGAGCGCGGGGTCGAGATGTCTGGTGCATCCAGGTCTCCCTTAGGGGCAAGAAGCATGGACACGAGATGAGGTAAAGCAACAGCAAAACACTGGAACTCCTCCTGCCTGTCCTCAAGGACGTCCGTGCTTAGAGCACACTCACCCCCGACGGACGGAGGACAGACAGACTCAGACTCAGCAACAAGACTAGCGGCGTAGTCTAGATGACAGCGAGAAGCAAAGTCGATAAGCTCAGCAACAAGAGCAGGCGCAGCAGTAGACTCAAAGGAAGGGTCAGTGACAACAGTAGCCAGGAGACGTGTGACAGTAGGACTAGCAGCACGAAGGGAGTGAGACTCCGGGTCCGGACCGACAGGAAGGGAGGACGCAGGAGGAGAGGGCAGAGGGACACGCTGCGCAGCAGTGGAAGGACGCAGAGCCATCTGGTGCGTGTCAGGGACAGGAGGATGACGCTGACATGAACCACGACGACTAGTGCGAGCAGCACGAACAGGCGACGTAGGACGAGACGCAGGCTCACGACGCTCAGCAAGACCTCCGGTCGGACCAGTGTAAGGAGAAGGAGCAGGCAGTGGGGAGGCGGGCTGTAGCTGTGACTGCGACTCGACAGGCGGTGGACACTCTAAGGAAGGAGCGGGACCAGTAGAAGGCGGGAGACCAAGAACCTGTTGAGGGAGCGGAGGAAGTACCGCCGCGGCCGCGCAGCGCCTCCAGAACCAGCAGGGACAGCACCAGCACCCCCAGCGTCAGCTCCAACTCCAGCAGCACCACCAGCTCCAGCAGCACCTCTAGCAGCTCCAGTAGCGCCAACTCCAGCACTCTCAGGAGTACCAGCTCCAGCAGCACCTCTAGCTCTAGCACCTCCAGCAGCTCCAGCTCCAGCAGGACCACCAGAAGCCCTAGCAGCTCCAGTAGCGCCAGGTCCAGTACCTCCACCACCACCTGCTCCAGCAGCACTGCCAGCTCCAGCACCTCCAGCAGCTCCAGCTCCAGCAGCACCACCAGGCCTAGCAGCTCCAGTACCTCCAGTACGAGCACCTCCGGGACCAGTGGCTCTAGAACCCCCAGTAGCTCCAGCAGCAGCAGGACCTCCAGCGCCAGTAGCACCACCAGCTCCAGCAGCACGGCTCCAGCGCAGAGCAAACCACTCGCACAGCTGCTATGGAGAGAGTGGCTCCCGCCGGGACGAAGCACCCGAAGGACCTCCAGGCTCAGCACCTCCAGACTCCACATGCGCAGGCTCAGCACCCTCAGGCTCCGCACCCCCAGACTCAGCAACCCCAGGCTCAGCACCCCCAGGCTCAGCACCCCCAGACTCAGCACCCCCAGGCTCCGCATGCTCAGGCTCAGCACCCCCAGACCCGGCACCCGCAGGCTCAGCACCCTTAGCAGAACCAGAGTCAACAGCTACCTCGACAGACTCGACTGCGTCTACCTGGGACCCAGCTGAGGGGGCAGGACCCTGAGGGGGGAGGGGTTCTACCGGGGGAGGACCTGGCGCGAGGAAGAACGGCGGGGGGGGGGGGAGGGGGGCAGTGCGGTAGGGGAAGAGACGGTAGTAAGGAACCGACTCGTCAAACGTGAAATCCTGAGAGGACAGAACACGGCGTGAGGTGGGGTGGTAAAACTGCCAACCAGGCGCATCAGGGGGGAAGCCAAGGAAGACGCAGGGAACAGCATGGGAGGAAAGCTTGTCCGCAGACCAGTCGCGGACGAAAGCTCGAGATCCCCAGACACATAACGCAGATGCATCGCCAACCTTCCCCGTCCACCGCAGAGTAGGTGTGGTCTCCGGCATGGAGACCCGGGGCTGGAGGTTGAGCTGATGCGCAGCGTACTGAACCGCGAATGGCAACAGAAAATGGGGAGCAGCCGCATGGATCATGGACGTACGAGGGACGTCCATGACCATGCCAATGCGGCACTCAGCAATCCCATTTTGCTGCGGAGAGGCCGGAAGCGTGAACGTCTGGCGGATGCCCTCCGCACGACAAAAGGCTCGCAGAAGGTCGTAGGAAAACTCTCCACCTCTGTCGGAGTGCAGACGCAGAACAGGAAGGTCCGAGCCGAAACTCTCGCTGAGTTGACGACGGGCAGCGCGGATCCAGTCGATCAGCACCTCAGTGACCTCACCCTTGCGGCGCAAGGGGAAGACTGTGGTGTAACGCGAGTAGTCGTCAACGACCAGCAGAAAGTAGCGCTCGTGACCCTGTCCACGGACGCGGGCTGGGCCCCACACGTCCATGTGAAGAGTCTGCAGGGGAGCCTCCGTCGGAGGGAACTCGGAGGAGTGAGGAGCGGCGCGCTGCCGCCCCTCGACGCAAGGAACGCAGGTAGGGGCAGGCCCCGGGGGAAGGGGAGGGAGAGACCGGGGAAGACCAGTGACAAGGACACGGGAGGCCATGCCTCGGAGACGAGGCAGGGAGGGGTGACCAAGGCGGTGGTGCCAGAGGAGAGTCTGGTGAGACAGGAGGCGACACGAGCAGTGGGCAGACTCAGGATCAGACCGGGACGCTGCAGCAAACACCTGACCCGAAGCGGCTACCTGACCAGACTCAGCAACCGGAGGAGACACGGTAGTCAGGGTGTACAGGCTCGACCCATGCTGACGGGTGAACTTGGCCAGGTGCCGGCCCGTCCGAGTACACGAGTAGTGGGTCACCCGCTGACCTCCAGGAGTGAACTGGTCAACCCACGCGTCCTGGAGGTCAGCTCCACTCACCAAGTTCGTTGAGAATGAGGGGAGGTGGAGGCCAGACAGAGAGCCAGACGGGACCGCCGGACACGGCAGAACCGTGGAGGAGTGTGCAAGGACCGGACCCCCAGAGGGGTCAGCCACAGAGACTGCCACTGGCCGACTGAGCGGCGAGAGTGTGGTGCAGTCGCGAAAGAAGGAGCGAGAAGCACCCGAGTCAAGGCTGAAAGTGTGCAAGGCCTGAGCCGGCACGGTACCTGAGAGAGCAGACTCACCAGCACCTGGAGAAGCAGACTCACTAGCACCTAGAGCAGCAGCCTCAATGCCCGGGTCGGGCGGAACACACAGGTAACTGTCACCCTTAGCACTAATAGTCACAGTAGACTCTATACCTCGGTCAGGCGGTACGCACAAGTAACAGGCACCCTCAGCACTAGTAGGCAATTCATACTGTGAGATTACGACGGCTTATGCCAGCTATGCTTGCTTGCCTTTACTTTATCATGCTATTTCTAGCATAGGATAATCATATGCATGCATGAATTGCTTGATTTCCTAGGCTAGGTGCTTTCCTATATTTTATTATAGTTATAGCACCGAGCTAGGTTGCGTGCACCGAATTCTGGCCTTTTCGGTTGCCACCGAATTGCCTTCTACCGAATTCGGTAAGGATCTGTTCGGGACGCTACGCGCCCCGCGGAACCTTCGCGTAACACCTGGTTACGGGGCCTTGTGTCGAGCCTATATATAGCCTCGTGTTGTACCCAGGTGATCATTCAATTCGACTCAATTCTCATTCTCTTTTCTGAGCTCGATCCTAGATCCTCACACTTGGTAATCAGAGCCCGTTTACACGCGAAGTTCTTTCGACCGCTAAAAACCAGTCTTCAAAAAACCGCGGGGGCGACGTAGTCAAACATCGATTTCGGGTACGTAAAACCGGTTCCGTGTTTTTCGCTCCCCCTCGATTCGGTTTTTCGGACGCGTTGATGTCAGGCATGGAGGGCCAAGGCGACAACTACGCGACTACGAGCGACATCGCGAGCCTCCGCACCGACATGGAGCAGACGCAGGCGACGCTTCGTCGACTCGAGGCTTTTCTGATAAGCCAACCAGGGTTCGCCACCGCAGCAGCAGCGACCGCAGCGACTGCAGCACCGACAACTCCAGCAGCAGTGGCGACACCGACATTTCACGGACCAATGGCACCACTGTCGCCGAACCTCGAAGCAGCACGACCGAGGCTCCCGGAGGCGTTCGATCCAAGCGCGAAGGGATCCGACGTCCGGCGATTCGTGGCCACCCTCGAAATTTACTTCGAGGCCATTGGCTGTTCGACCCCGCAACACGACGCAGCAAGGATTCGGCTCGCAGCGACACTGTTACGTGGACCGGCTCTCGAATGGATTTACTACACCGACGTAGCCCGCGGGGAGAAAACGTGGCAGCAGTTTCGGGCAGATTTAATCGAGCGTTTCGAACCAATTAATACAACCTACATGGCGCGGCAGCAGATACACCGACACAAGCAATACAGTAGTGTAACACAGTACACGCAGCAGATGGAGTTACTGTTCAACCGCATCACCGACCTGACCGGAGGCGAAAAAATCCAGGCGTACACCGAAGGGTTAAAATTGGAGATTCGGCGACAGGTGATTGCGGCGAATTACAACAGCTACAGAGACATCGTGCGTGCTGCCGAGCGATACGACGCGCTGACTCGAGGTCAACCCGAAACACGACGCTTCACGCCGAACCGTACATTCGGCACGGAGCGATCGGCACCCCCCACGTTCGCCGAACCGATGGATATCGACAAATACGACGCGAAGCAGCAGCCGACAAAATGCGAATTTTGCGGCGCAGCAGGACATCAGTTTTTGTCGTGCTACAAAATGAAGAAAGCACGTGCGGCACTCCGGGACGGAAACAGTGGAGCACCCCCGAAGTCAAAAAACGGGAATCGCCAGTAGCCGCGGATCGACCTGGCGATCGCGTAAAGATCCGAAAAGCAGGAAAAGGCGACGACGTGGCGACTTCGGAGCGGGTGAAAAAAGGAGAAAATGATGGCGCGAATCTAAAACGTCACGACCGGCCGGCATCAGGGGAAATCGCCGAGGTGAATGGAGGCTCCGCGAAAAAAGACTCTGCACCGACCGGGAAACTCCAGCCGAACACCCACGAAAGTAAGAATTCGTTAAAAGTATCCTATAAAGATACTCTAACGAAGAATATTGCTTCTCGTGGTTTTCAAGCCTTTAAAAAATTCAGGGGAGGTTTAGAGGCCAAGAAAAAGCCTTTAGAAATTATTCAGGTACCTGAGAAGTTGGGCAAAGTACTACGGAGCGTAGAAAAGGGTCGTGCGTTCCGTGGAGTTAATATTCTCTCCCCGCAGCACAGTGTTAAGGCTCCCCGTTGCCCACAGGTGAAGCCTACACAGCTGCCAAGGCTTAGAGGAGACATCCAGGCTCAGGAGAAATTGTACAAGCCTCGGAAAAATCCTCCTACCCCCCAGGTGAAGTTGGAAAGCGCTGAGTCAGGTATAGGAAAAAGGGAAGGTATTAAGTTTGATGTACCCTATGATCCTATTAACGAGACCCTCTTTGGCTACTCAGCGCAGCAGAAACCACTACTCCTCGAGGTGTTATGCAATGGGCGACGCCTCCAGGCATTGGTGGACAGCGGTGCATCTCACTCGGTGTGTGACCGCAGAGAATTGGAGAAAATTGGAGAGAAGGCGAAAGAGACCCAGTTTTCAGCAACCATGGTGGACGGTACGAAGCTTCCTATCCACGGCGAAGCATCACTGCAGCTGCATATAGGTGCGTTGAGGTGGAAGCCGAAGCTACCAGTCACCAACATCAAAGGATTAGGTTTTATCTTGGGGCGAGATTCTCTAAAGGGGTTCAACCCCGAGATCGATTGGGTCAACAGCAAGGTGTGCATCTACAACAACGGAAAGCGGATAGCACTGCGAAGCTGGACGGATACAGGGGACGTACCTGAAACGACACTGGCACGGTTCGAACAGACGGTGAACGAGAGTAACACGGGTTACCTAGCACTGGTCATGGCAGCAGCAGAGGAGGAGAAGCCGAGTTCCGAGCTCCCTGCAGTAGTAAAGGAGGTCTTGGAGCAATACAAGGATATAATGCCCGACGACCTACCTGCAGGCGTACCTCCAGCACGCACCCACGAGCATGAGATCCTGGAGGAACCAGGTGCGAAACCCGTCTCACGTGCACCATACCGACTGAGTCCGACAGAACTGACAGACATGAAGAAACAGATAGAGTATCTACTGGACAGACAACTGATCCGCCCATCCACCTCTCCCTACGGTGCACCAGTTCTCTTCACTCCAAAACCAGACGGCAGTTTACGGATGTGCATCGACTACCGCGCACTGAACAAACAGACAGTTAAAAA